TATGATTAATCGGCTCATTGGTTCATCGGTTCATATTTTAAAAATTATTTCATGAAGCAGAGGTGATCGTCGGCGGAGTTGAACCAATTAACCGACGGTTCATTGGACTGATTGGTATCCACCGGGTTCTTATCATTGAAACAACCATCCAACTCGATATCGGTATCGAATATTCCATCTCTCGTTAGCTCAACACCGAAAAAATCGTCGTCGAATACCGAATATGGTGAAACACTGTCGCAGAAATCTATCTCTCTGACGTCACTGTTTGCTGACCAATGAGGAAGTCTCAATGATCTACCCTGGATTGTGAGGTCTAACGTGATTGGTTGCTGCTGTTGATGACGTAGTAGAAGTAGTTGTTGTTGTTGCGCGGTTGTTGTCTTGTTAGGAGTAGGAGGGGGAGGATGAGGTAAAGAGGAAGTGGATGGAAGTGGAAGCTGGTTGGGAAGGGATGATGAAGAAGAGGATGTGAGGTTGATGTCAGTGTTGATGAGATACTCGCTGATGTCCAGTTGCACTCGGTTTGCTGCATGGAAGCCGGCATCAATAACGTCTTGAGATTCGGACGCAATAAAACAATTAGACTCGCCAGGTGGATTTTGAAGGTTGCTTGGCTGAGAGGAGATGTTGAAGTTTCGACCGGCCCCATTGTACGCTGCATTCGATTTCATTGAACTCTCACTGCAATGTCTGCCATCACTGATACCGAGAGGGTCCTCCCATGGGAAATCTATTAGGTCGGTGATGTCATCTTCACCGTCGTTGATTTGGAAAATGTCAGACTGACTGATGACCGACGGAAATCCAAAATCGATAACATTCGCGTCGAAGTAGGTTTGAAAAACTGAATTCTCGTCATGCGGTTCTTGCTGCTGGTTGTAATCGGATATATTCGGCAAGTATTTTTTATCGATTGTATCGTCTACATTAGTAACCGAGCAGGTGTTGTTGCTGTTGCTGATGTTGTTGTTCATGAATGCAGCAATGTTATTCCTCATGCAGTTGATGTCCTCGTCGTTGTTGTCGTTGCTGTTCCGAGAACAATCGTCATTGAGAAGTGAAGTTGGGGCCAGATTGGAATCCGCAATGAAGATGGGCGTGTTCGCATCGAGCTGACCTGCAGAATTATTTGAATTGGAGGACGACGGTTTCGGCACAATCCTACCACCGGAAGAAACTTTGGAACCGGTTTCAACAAATTTATTGATGCTGTGATGATGTTGTTTTGAACTCAGTACAGATTTGTCCCGGGTCAGTAAGGTCGGATAATGATGCTTTGCAATCTCTAAAAAGCGATTCTTTCGTCCCGGCACTTTTGCCTTCTTCAGTGGACAGTTGGACGCATTATTGAATCTATCGTTTGAGTTCTTCTCGAGCGGTTGAACGATGTTCGTATTTTTATTCGTTCGAATATGTAGAATATTCGTTTGCAGAGATTGATTGGGAGAAGAAGATGCCGTCGGCTTCGGTGTATCAATTTTCGGAGGTATGATGGGCATGCTAGAACTGCTTTCAACCGGTTTCAGTTTGTAACTTTTTGCGTCTATTAAAATCGGAGGTGTCGGAGTTGTTGGAGAAGACGTCAGTGCGAATATTATTGCTGCTGCTCCTGCTGCTGCTGATGGTGATGATGATGATGGTGATGATGATGATGGTGATGAGGATGATGA